ATAATAATAATAATAATAATAATAATAATAATAATAATAATAATAATTACTATTATTATATTGTGAAAATTATACATATCTGTTGTTTTATTTGTACAGATAGGTATATATATTCATGTATACTTGCTCACTATTGTTAATAGTGTTATAATACAGATATAGAAATATAGAAATATTTATTTATTATTATTATTATTTTCTTTTCTTAAAATATGGAACCAATTAGCTAGGTTCAGAGCTCCCAGAGCAGGAAAGCCAGGGAATAGTTGTTGTTGATATCCAATTGGTCAAATGAACACCTGAGGCTGGAGAAAAAAGGCCTCTAGCAGCCTGCACTCCCAGACAGCAATTGGGAGGGAGTGGCTGCAATCCCTCGCCCTGAGTGCTGCTGCGGAAAGCCAACAACTCTATGTTTTTATTTATTATGTTTTGCACAATAAAAGCAGAAATGATCAAGCTCTAACAGGCTGGGAGGCCTGTACAAGCGAGCTAACAACCTCGCAGCTGAAGTGAGGCTGGAAGATGGCACCCGAGCACGAGGAGGCACCCAAAATGGCGGCCGCCTATGAGTCTCCTTGTCGGGCTGCTCAGGACAGAACTAGGTCCCTCTGGCATGATTAAAGTGCCTAGAGAGCAGCGAGATGGAATTGCCCCTTCCTGGGGCGATCGGCGTTCGGGTTGGGGGGAAAACCAGCTGCGCTCACAGTGCAATCGATTCAAGCCGCTAGTGAGGGCGGCGTAGAGAAGCGGCAGGAATAAACGGAATGAATCGAAGGTGGGGGGGGATTAGCGCAGAAGCGCTGCTAAACCGCCCGCTCTTTTTCCCCCTTGGGGGCGAAAAAACCACGCTTCCCTTGCTCCAGAGGCACCCCAGATGCGCAGAGGCTAAGGAAAAAGAAATAAATCAGGCAAATCTGAAAGTTTAAGGATGAGCTTGAATCAGCCAAGGAGTGAAAGTAAACACAGCCTAACTCTCCGAAGGCTGGATATTCTTTTTAACAGTAAAATCTTCATTGTTGTTAATTGTTTTTTCATTGGGACACAGTGACCAGGGGTTTGTATTCTTACTAGGAATAAAATTCAAATCTCTTCATAATGATAGACAAATTATCCCAGCCTAATATAATTTATATGACTCTAGTAAGGCTAAAGAAAAGAAAGAAAATTCAGTGCATCTAGTACCTTAGACTATTTTCACATATGAATTAAAACTAATGATTATTGAATTTCTGGGAAGAGTTGATCAATCTCCAATTTGACCTGCTTTGTTAGCTACTTCTTGCAAGGAAGTTGTGTTAGAAGCCCTGGAACCATTTTCTTAACATTTCATCAAATGAATTTTTAGAAATCTTTCAAGTCAGTTTTGAAATCCCACTCCTTCAATGCAGAATTCATTTCTTAAATGTTCTCATGGGAATAAATAAGTTATTATAAGAATTGCACTAGGAAATCAATGGGCACCAGGCTAGCACTTACTAAAGTGAAAATGTTATAACTGTACATTTAGATCATTGTTTCTCAAAGTTAGCGGAGTGAAGATGTGTGGACTTCAAGTCTCAGAATTCCCCAACCAGCACTCAACTTCTGGGAATTGAAGTCTACATATTGTCAAGCTGTCAAGGTTTAGAAGCATTGTTTTAGATATATGTTGTCATTACATAGCAATGCAATTGCTTAGCCAAAAAGTACTTTTCTTTACTTAGAAACTGAGTCAGAGTCACTGGTACATGCTTTTGATTGGACATGCTGAAACATTTTCTTTACTCCCTATATCTAGATAGGCATTTTAGAAAGAGATTATTTTATTTTTTGCAACATAGTTAGATGTATTGGGGTCCTTCCATTTAATGGTCCTTCCATCTGTTTTAGTTTCTCCAGTTCAGCCAGGATTGGATAGCTGCTACCACTTAACTGAGCAATTATGATAAAGCAGAACTGATAATGAACCAAAAATGAATTACAGTTTCTTGTTATTTTTCTTTCTTTTGTAAAAGAGGCTTCAACTTCACTATTGAAATTCTTTGGAACTTCTTGAAGATTACTATTGACTGTATTTTTGGTATGGTGTTAAAGGATTTTCTTTGTCTACCTTTATGTCCTGATCTGTGTGTGTGTGTGTGTGTGTGGTGGGGGAAGAATCAGAAAAGGGAAGAATATTCTTGTATTAAGGGAAATGAAACTGGCTATTTTTGATTTCTAGAGAGAATCAGCTTCCTTTCTGTCTCCTGTCTTTCCATAGCAGAATGTAACATGCCTGCTTAGACATTGACCTTCATGTTTGTTTTCCAATTGAAAAGAGGTTGTTATTGGATTTATTTAGGATCTACTGGGAATGAGCATAAACCAAGAGAACAATGTTTCAGGTTTGAGACTTATTAGGTGCTATATGAAGATTAGACAGATAGTATCGAATCTGGGTCAGTCACTGGGACCAGAGGTTTAGTCTTCCAAGCTTTTGAACTTCTACTGGAGCCCATCCTTAAGGGACTTCTCTCTAGCAAAATGTGACACACTCTGCTAGAGAGAAGTTCCCTGAGGATGGCCTCCAGCACAAATCCAAAAACTTGGAAGACTAAACCTCTGGTCCCAATGAGCCAGATTGGATCCTGCAATTTTATCCCACACACTTTTATCCTTGGAATTCACCCACATTTATTGGACAGATAATTGAGTGATAGAGCTTACAGTTGATCTTGGGATTCAGGTGAATTATGAAAACTTAAGAAGGGAAGAGAATGATGTTCAGAATATTGCAGCGTAAATTCAGTGCCAGAAAAGTAAACACAGATGACTGAGGCTTCATCTAACTTCTTTATAAACACATAAAGTAAGTTTTACAATACCAGTTGTAGATTTCTCCAACATGGAGCAAACTCAGACATGTTACAGGTTCAGAGCAGATCAGCAACTCAGGAGCTCAGAAACAGACATCAGTTTCACTTTAGTTCAGCAGGCAAGCAAGCAAGTTAGTTTCTCTTTCACTTTAGAGCTGAGCATAGATTCTGCATAGATTCTCTCTTAAGTTTCAGCCCTCAATTCAGCTCTCATTGGCTGACCTTGTTACTAAGCTCTATTCCAGTTCATGAATATACTCTGACAAATGATGCAGTGATGATCGTTCCATAAATGATTGAAATGAAAAAGAAACACTTATACTCATTGCCCAGACATCTTGTAACAACTATGGTATGTGTACCTATAAGAATTCCACACAATGGTTTTTTTTTTTTGGGGAGGGGGGTATTATTCGTCCACTGAATGGCCTAGTGGCCTAGTGATGTAAATGCTTTCCCCCCACTCGGAAAATTGAGAGTTCAATCCTAGGCAGTGACAGATATTTCTCTATCAGGGTGCAAAGAGAAAATATGTGCTGCAAATTCCTTGTAGAGTCAGGAAGGGCATCCTGCCATTAAGTCCTCAGCTTTATCCAGTTGCCCGAACTCTAACCCTAACCTTGAATTAAGGGATTTTATGGTTGTAAAAAGGGAGCAATTTTAAAATTCTTTGTCAGATTGAAGAATAGTTTATTTTTAATCAATACAAGTGTTCAGCACAGTGTTTCAATCTTCATCCAAGTTGCATCTTTACCCATGCTCCTCTATTTGCATTAAAGGAAAATAAAGTTACTTTTAATAGTGAAGTGTCCCAAAAACAGTTGAATTATCTGCAGGGGAAAAAGCCATAATCGAGAGGGTTTCACTTATCCTTATTTCATGCTGAATTAAATGATTTTATCAGCTGGAACATAATGAGGATGACTACCAACATTTAGAGAGAAATGTCTCTTTTTCCAAAAGCATTGGATACACAATGCAGGTAAAAATAAATCTCAGTGGAGAAGGATAACAATATTTGCAACTTCAGTTTTACTTGTATTTGAACGCAGGTCTACTGATTTCAAATTAATCATTTGGAATTTAATAATCTCTGTAATGCCACAGTTCTTATGATGCATTTATGACAAAACATAAAATATAGACCAAATAATAGCATGATTTATGACTCTTTAGCTGAAGGAAGCTGCCTATATGATGATGTGAGTTACAATTAAAAGTAAAGAACAAGGATTTATATGTGATAATCTGTTTACTGCTGATTAATTTGATTTCTACACTGTTTTTCTACTCAAATACGCATTCACGGTAGCTATAAAACACTGATTGTAGTCACATCATCTTCATCACAACTTCATTTATTTATTTTCCTTTTCCAATGGATACATAGCATAGCAGGGGAATAAAAAAAATAGCTTTACAATCTTCTTGGAAACAGGAGATTATTCATTTATTTATTTACCTGGAAGACATGATGGAGGGCTTCCCCCACCCCCCTTTACTGAAAGAGAGGAGAGAGAAACTCTAGAGTAAAAAAAAGGAAGTTTAAAATAAATCTAACACTTATTGTTCAGCTCTCTAAATGGAGACAATTGGAGGGTGGACAGATATGTCAGTTTTGCAAAGCTGGCATGAAAATGGAA